GAGGGGTGTTCAGGTTTTTTAAATGCAAAATTGAAAGAAATACGTCAAGTTGATATTGACCAAATTTTGATCGTATCACCCTTTATCACTTAATTGCAACTTTAGGCTGTTCCTCAAAATCCGATTATAATCAGTATGTCTTCTGCTACTCTGTTTGTGGAAATTTCTTAATTTTGGGTCACTCATTCTGAATCTGAAGTCAGATTAAATTTAAATTAACGTTTTCGTATCTTGAAAACCTTTTTCATGCGAAAACCGACATTAATGGATCAATGAAAATGGTGAGGTTTTGACAGTACCACAGTATTTTACATTTTATCGTCCATATACAGTAGCACCAAAAACATGCTTTCACGGTGCTCCTCTGACCGCTATTATAAAAAAAAATAGTTTCATCAAAAGTGAGTACCCCAATCGATTTGTTAGATCATTCTGCATCTCTGAAACAAATTTAAAAAAAAATCATAGGGCGCATTTTTGAGTTACACCCTTTAAAGGCGTAACTGCATAAATCTCACTAAAAACAGTAAAATGCCATCACATATGCTTATTTTGCATGCAACATGACATGAAATGTCGATTGCAGAGTGTTTACATATTAATTACATGGTTATAATTTGTAACGGTTGCTAATTTTTGGAATAAAAAATTAATTAATTCCAAAAAAAGTTAATTTAAGGCTTAAGTTTTATTTAAATTAACTGTAAACTAATAAACCTAAATATAAATAATGAATCTCAAAGTGGTTTAACACAAATGACGACTATTGTAGTCAACGACAGCACGCAGAAGTTAGATTTGTATATCTTTGATGTTTTCGTGGTCTTGTATCTTTCCCAAGTCAATAAAAAGTCGCTGTGAACCGATTCGGACGCCTGCTCGTTGTGCCAACCCAAACCTCGTCCAGTTGCGTTACAAAACTCTTTCACATGAAACTTGGTTACATGGTATTTGGACGATTTGGGTAGATGCAACATTTCCCAGTATTCGACAAACTTATAAATATCTTCTTCAAATCCGGGTACAAGTTCGAATGAGAAGCATTTCTTGAACGCATTTTGAAAGTGTTTCAGGACCTATAAAAAGTAACAGTCATTTGTTTTATACCTGCTGATCGAAAAACAACTGTACCTTACATCAACATAGTTTAGCAAATCTTCGTTTTCTCGGAGAACATCGACAGCATCAAGGAGACTGTGACATGCTCGTCCTGTAAAACAGTATGTTCGCTGTTGATGTCGTACATGAGCCTTTTCGATCCATAAATCTGCCCAGTCTGGACTGCTTGAAAAACCATGTTCACGATCCCAAGTGTCACGTGAAGTGGAGGCGGAGGGCATACCAGCAAAACAGGAGTGCTGTCTTGGCCGAAAACCAGCGGTGGTTTAATGCAGCTAGCATATTTTTTTTTACGATTTTTGGAACATGGGTCTTTATTGGAATTTTCCCGAATGTTTTCAATCGTTCGGGGCACTCCACTTTGCAATGCAAGGTTTGATTTTTCTGTTACACAATATGGACAAGGGTGGATCGATGAATGCGCCATTATTCCAATAATCACGTTAATGATCTTTAAATCACCGGCAATAATCGATTCCAAGTGATTCAGCTTCAAAAGACCATTCCAGATTAGAAAAATATATTCATATTTTTCGGCAAGATTTGGAGCCAATGCCAAAATATGGAGGCGTTTCACGTTGCTGTCTTTAAAATAATCTGCGGAATTATTTTGGGTTCTGGATACAACAGAGAGAGTGATCTTAAAAAATCCTCCTCCACCGTCGATACCAAGCTTAATGAAAAGTTCTTCCTCACTGGCGTGTCTACTTTTCTTGATTCGTTGAAGCAACTCAGGTATTATTACAAAATATAACTGGAACATCAGCGCATTGACAGCGTCTTCAGCTAGAAAAGAGCATTTTAATTTAGATTTCTTTAAAATATGTACCTTTTTGAGTTTTACCTTTGGCTATTTCTCCTAGCTCTACAATACTAAACAAATCTCCAAGCTGTGAGTTCAGTTTGGAAAGCTTTCCTTTTAAGCCAGTTTCAAACCTCACTCCACCTCGTTTTAAACCTTTCATGATGCCTGTAAATCAACTAACCAATAAGCAAATCAAAAGCTTCGGCAAATCCTAAATAAAATATTACCAAGAGTCTTCCGCATGCTCAAGTTATTCTCCGTCTTCACTTTGAACATATCTTCCGTCCGCATGCGTTTCCGTTCTTTCAAAGATACAGTAGAGCTTTTAGAAATACGGATGGTTTTCCTCGACGATTTGATAAGCGAATGTTTTCAGAACCTGTATGAATCAAATAAAACGTTAAAGCTACATTCTGAAATACATCAGTTACTGTTTTACCAGAAGTTGAGACTTTTTCGGCTAGAAACTTTGACACAGCTGCTTCTGATGCCTTTGGTGGAGAATTATTTTCTTTCAGAATTCTTGCTAAATTTTCTGAACGCTCAGTGACAGTACAAACGTGATTCTTCCCTCGTCCGATTTCCGTTAGACAAGTATTACACATCCCAAGTAGCATTGCAAGTTTTATCGAGGTTTTAAAGCATTCTACAAGTCTAAATCATAGTCTCCAGAACCCTCATAAAATTCAAATTGTTACTTGGGATGCGTATGACCTCGCGTATGACTTTAGTAGTGTTTAAATAGCTCGGTATTGAATTACGTTAGTTTTCCTTTCTAGGAACTGTTCCCGGTAGATTTTTACCATACTTTAACTGGGCAGCCTCACAAACTTCACAAGTGCACTTTGAATTTGTTCTCGTACTCTTAGAATAGTTAAACTTGTATTTATGTAGGACCACTTTTCTGCTATTTCCATTTACAAGGCTGCAACAAATCCGACACTTGGCACATATTGAGGACGGATAATACCACTTGCGAACATCAATATCGCTTAAGTAATGATCCCTAATCACTTGACGTATTGCAATGGAGATCGGTCTAACGTTTTTTTTTATTTGAAAGGCTTAAAATGCACACTTTTTTTTTGTTGATTGCGTGATTATCCATGATAAAATTTCAAGCAAAACACTGCAACTCACAAAAGGCACATTTGTCAATAACGTTTGTCAATGCCTACTTGTGTTCTCTAAAAAAAAAGATAATGTTGCGATTTGAATATGTAAAATAAGAATACGTGATGGAATTTCCCTGTTTTTAGTGAGATTTATGCAGTTACGCCTTTAAAAGGGCGTAACTTGAAAATGCGCCCTATGATTTTTTTTAAAAATTTGTTTCAGAGATGCAGAATGATCTAACGAAACGATTGGTGTACTCACTTTTGATGGAACTAATTTTTTTATAATAACGGTCAGAGGAGCACCGTGGCTGTGGTAGGTTCCAAAATTGACCGTTCGCAGCCATCTAACGCCAGTTGTTTTGCATTGTCTTTTGTCTCCCTATCCATCCGTCGGTAGCAATAAATCAAGTGAAGTGGCAAATAAATTTGATTTGTATGTCCGAAAGATACACGGCGAATGAGAACGACTCAAATTTGAGTTTAGTTCACTCATAATCGCCAAAAGTGCAGGAACTCAGCGATGAGTTAATTTGCCTCATGTTTTCCCAGGTTTTTCCAGGATTTTCCAGGGAAAAATTCCCGAATTTGAGAAAAGTAAAGATTGGATTCCCTCAGTCTATTGGTTCTACTCCGACACTGAATAAAATTTTCGTCAATTTCCTCATTTTCCGGCTGATTTTTGAGGTTTCCCACAGGAAACCATGAGACAAATTTTACTCATCGCTGAGTTCCTGCACTTTTGGCGATTATGAGTGAACTAAACTCAAATTTGAGTTGTTCTCATTCGCCGTGTAGCCAACGGTCGTGTACGTTGTGTGAAGTGAATATCACGAGTGGTGAAATATCGTGCTCTTTGACTTATTCACATCTTCAACTGGAAAGTTGAAACATCAGCAGTGTTGGGGTGCTAAAGTTTTCCTCTGGTTTCTGTGCGCCGTTCGAGGTACGAACAGGAAGAAATACCTTCGAATCCCGGCAAATACATTGGCCTATATTTAGGCGTAGTTTGTACTAATTTAAAATCTAATCTAAAGAGGTTTGAGAGGTACCTATTTAAACATGTGGTTGGAAAAGTAATTACGTTTATTGGTTAAAAGTGCTCAACTTTCCTCCAGTTTACGGACATTTCGTTTGTACCGCTTCATTCAATAGTTACTGAGTGGTCGAGTCCATCGCTGGTTCTTTCATAAGGATTGTGTTCTTAAGGTGATTCGCTGTTACATCCTTATTCTCGGAACCACTTCGAAACGTTAAGTGTACAAATATAAGCTTCTACGACATGTGCAACATTCAAATTGTTACTCCACGATTGCTGCACTGCAGTATACATGAAGTAGCAATTTCAGGTGAAATTGGGCACTGATTTCCAAGGTTTGTGTAATTGAAAATTCGAAGTGGAAGTGCATGTATAGCCTACGAGCGGCCATTTGTGGACTCTACAAGAAATCACCTTAAGGTATTCTTTCAGAAGCTCTGAATGGGGGATAATTCTGAAATACTTGCTTTAGGATTCCTCCCCCCCCTCATAATTGTGAGATGGAAATTGCATCCACGACATAGGTGGAGCGTGGAGTGATGAACAGTTCGCCATGTTTCATTTATAGACTGACAATTGCTTATATGAGTAAATAGTTACAGTTTCGTAAAAGCCAATTGGGACGTAAAAAAAGACGAAGAAAACGAATGGATTCAATGCAAATGACGATAAACGAGTACCTCACAGCAGTGCTTCCGAACACTCACTACCAAACTACACCGCAACAAGTTGCATATTAGATAACAATTTTCAATCACGCGAAAAGACCAACACGCCTTCCAGCCAAACGTTCATGATGTCACTCTATCCGTCATTCGCCATGTAATTACTATCTAAAATGCGTTTTTTCTATATCAGAAGAGTCGAGGTTTTCACAGCACCGTTTACTGGTCGATGATGAGTGAGATAAACGAGACGTCTATGAACTTGAAATTTATTCTAGGACAATTTTGTTCAGTATATCTGTATTCAATAGTTGTAGCCCAATGCATAAGGGGACTCTACTGCCGTTACCACAACGTAGATTCCTTTTTCGTTTTCCCACTGCGGAGGATCACCGCCGAGTAGACCTTGCTGTTTGAGGTTGTAGCATGTTTTCGTTTTCAGTTCATTGTAGTCGTCGCATCGTGCACCCCAAAAGCCTTTGCAATCCTTAGAAAGGGATTCCATAAAGTACTCGACCGATCGGCCATGACTGCAGGATTCCGTTGCGCAACCTGGTTGTTTCTTCCCGTAGTTGAGGTAGAAGTCCACCCGTCCGATCGGGTGAGGATAACCGGAAAATTGAGTACTGGTGTGTATGACTTCGACGTATTCTGCATCATCTGGACTAAGTCGGCTTTCCGGTTCATCCTCGAAGAAATTGATCGATGCTGGATCGAGTCCGAAGATGACCTTTATCTTTCCTACACTCACAACTCGACCGGCATTTCCGGCAATATGGGCACCTAGACTATGTCCTATCAAGTAGATATGGTCCATGGTTGTCATGCTGGAACGAACCATACGATTTATCAGTTCCGCAACGACATGACCCACGGCCAAGGTGTACTGTGAGGCACGTAGGTACGCTTCAGCAGCTCCCGTGTTCCAGTCCACTCCGATGATGTTGTACTGCCCGGCGGCCAAATAGGCTTCCTTGACTCCGCGAATCGCCAACGACGTGTAATTGTTCATCCAACCGTGGATCACAATGCTGCAATGCATTTGGATTTGCAGTAAATACCGTGAGGTCTGTGTGAGACAGATTCCGAAAATTATTACTCACCGCAGTGGCAGACTGCTGTTGTAGAATGAACGAGACAACGTTCCAACCGTGTCAACCGAGAACACGTGAGGCTCATTCACCGACAATGGCGTGTACAAGTAGAACCGTACGTCGCGTTTTGCACTGAAATTACTTCCAAAGCCAATCCTATTGGAACCGATCGCTGTAAATGGATGTAAGAGCAGCCTTACTAGTTGGATGTCAAGATTTTCCATAATCGAGCAATACTTACGAGCAACATCTTCGTCTTCAGCGCGTGTTCCAAGAATCACAATGCAAACTATAACGATTTTACAAAGCATTCTGCAGGTCACACAACCGTTTCAGTTCCGGACGAAAATTGTAATGTCAAACTCTTACGATTGAAAGTCTACAAAAAGACAATGCCATCCGGAGTCACCCAACAGAACGGAACTAGCTTATCACTTCACCTCCCGTCGAGCAATTGTTGGTAACGTATGTTAAAATGCAATGCACAATTGGTCTATTCGAACTTTCAACCACACCGGTTGGCACTGTCTGCTCAACTGCCAAATAATTTATTTATGCGCGTTCCCCCAAAACTAGTAAACCTTCAAAACTTTCGCGGGATTTTTTCTACGACACGCTTCATCACCGCACTTCCGATCGTCTGCGGTCGCTCGTGGTTTCAGCGATAGAAGAGCCATAAAAAACTGATCCACCGCAACAAAATGCCGCAGCTAATTCACCTTACAGTAGGCTTAAGCAAACCCCACACGCATCAATATATTGACGCGAAGGGGAATTATTGACAATAATATTGATGATGTGAATTCAGAAATATTGTCAATCTCGATATATTGACGTCAATATAGAATGTATTGACAATACGATTATTGTCAATAAAAGTAATCGTGTAGGGTCCACTTTATGGGATTGATTATTTGACAGAACTTCAGTTCCATCGAATTGCGTTTATTGTAGGTCATCAATCGTCTTAGGTCATGAACATCCGTTTATCATAAAATAAAACGATTGCAATACTTATTCTATTAATAGATGTGCGGCATCTATTTTGGGCATTATATTTTGGTGTCATTTTCATACAGGCACATCTATCTATGAACCGGTCACTCATTAGCATACATCTTCAGTGATTTATGGCAAAGCATTGCCGGTAACTAAAGATGCAGCATGTCATCGGGTGGCTACAGCGAAAGTAAAGAAAGGCTTAATTTTTCGTCAAATGACAACAAAAATAGGTAAATATGGTTTTGTTTGACCGACAGGCCAGATCTAGGCTGTCTGGTCAGTTTTTGGGTGTTGCATAAGGTTTGGAGATGGACTCATTCCATCTTAGATGCAGTACAAACAGCGAGGAATGGATTTGATGTGTTATCAACAACGGTCAATATGTTATGCCGGATGCATGCGATGGAAAATTTAGACTTACTCACGGAAGCCAGATAGTTTTGGTCGTACAGGCTTCGGATAGCCTAGTCAGTAAAGGCACGATTCCCACGTCTGGAATTTTCTCGATTTTCTTGGGCATAGAGAATCATTGTGTTTTGTGATATTTTGCAGAGAAAACCATTTCTCGAGGACTTTTTCAAAAGGACCTATGTAACATTTCCCGCATAATGAGAAAAACTAGGTTGAAATTCGACAGATAATTTTTAAACTGTTTTGAAACAATACGTACATATATCAATACTAATTTTGTTGTAGTCAGAGCGGTTCCATTTCAAATGACGAATATTTTTCAAAGTTGTTAACCGACCGTCACCGATTAAGTTGAATTTTTACACAGTTGTTTGTTATTGCTCAACATGCTACTTTACACATTTGGTTCCTTAGTATGCGCATGGGCATGAACATGAGCATGATTGACCACCCACGGTTGCTACTCTGTTATTGCCAGCTCAGCTGTGTCTTGGGACTCAATGTTTAAAACTGGTGATCTAAAACTAGGCAACACCAGCGGCGGCCGTGCCCGAACGCAGGTCAAGACAGGAATGGGTAGGAATGTGTTGACGTGACACTCGCTTTGATGGAAGCCTAGAACACCGCTGTATGTTGGATAAAAGGGTTAGGATTGCAGCAGGATCCGTTTTGGTAAACGATATGTTGAATTGATGTCCTTACGATTCAATATCGGGAAGGAGGTTGGGTTTGAACCCACGGTCTTCTGTTCAGTAAGCAAAAACGTTTGCCACTCCTTTTCAATCATCGAGTTGTTGTTATTACCATGTAGTCATATTAACAAATGAAACAATTGAAGGATGGGCCTGAGATTAAACTCATGATGATCTGCTCAGTAAGCAAAAACGATCACTTTAAGGCCACCGAGCCCCTCATATCACATAATATAGTTACTCAAGTTGCTGTAACCATTCAAACCCGGCACCGACAATGACGACAATTTTCGTAAAATACACGATAACAAACGTGTTGACCACAAATCTCTTTGATAAAGGACCTGTGACCACGTTTTTCTGCTCAGTAAGTAAGTCACTGCGACCGACGATCTTTCAAGCATGAGCATGAGCATTGACGACCATACATTTCAGTAGTTGCTACTCCGTGATTGACCAGATTTAGCGACATTTGCACAAAGAACCATTTGAGTGGGGCTTGGGAATAGCAATCCATTCTCAGTGTACAAAATCCGGATAATCCATATTTTTGAGGTCAATAACGGCGCCGGCCACGTTCTTACGGTCATCGGGGAGGGAAAGGATTGTTATTTCATCAACCGTTGCTACTAGAGACCGAGTATACCTCTGCATCTCCACGGTTGTCACGGGAAGGATGTTTTTGTTGTTGGGAAGGGTAAATTAGATCTGGATTCACATTGGAAAATGATGCGATCTTTTAAAACCTGTTAAGCAAATGACGCGACCATATCAACTCAGTAATGTAAAGAGGCTCGGGTTTTGACCCACGATCTTCTGCTCAGTAAGCAAAAACGGTCGCTCTAAGGCCACCGTACCCCTTACATCACAACAAGCTACGACCGACGATCGTACATTATAGGTTACAAGAAGCTATTACAATAACATGAAATCATCCAAAGTACTTAACAATGTCTTCCGAAGCGATTTATAATATACTTATTACAATAGAGGCCTGGATATATTAACTTAGTAATGTAATGAGGCTTGGGTTTTAACCCATGATCTTCTACTCATTAAGCAAAAACAGTTGCTCTATAACCACCGTGCCCCTTACATTGCCACAATCTACGACCGACTCAACAAAAAGTTATTCAAATGAAGCGACGTCTCTGCAATCAGCAAACAATGTCTTCCAAACTGGATCACGCATACACCCTTTCATTCATGGTTAAAAACTATTCAACTTTTGGGTTATTAAGTGCGCTTTATGCTCTCGGAACCCAACGACGGTGGTTTATTCTGTTGTGGGAGAGCTTGGGATTAAACCCATGATATTCTGCTCATTAAGCAAAACCAATCCCTCCAGGGTTATCGAGCATCTCACAACTAAAACACTTCACGACAAAATATGATTAAAATTCCACTTGGTATGTAATGAACAACAGAGATACGCGATAATTCATATAGTTTCAGCGGCTGATGGTTAATATTTAATATACTAACGGTACTGCCTACGGCGAATACGACGGAGATTACGACCGTGACTACGACGGCGAATACGACGATGAAAACATGCGAATTTGTAATGTAACGAGGCTTGGGCACGAATACACCCTTTGCGAAATTTCAAACTCAACATACGCAACAACCGAACTACACACGTCGCGTGAAAATCAAGATCAGTGACCGATTTATCTTTAAGATAATTAAATATGACAATTTAACCCGGTTTGCAAACAAAATCGAACCGGTTTTTTTATAATTACTTTGTTTGTACAGGCTCAATCGAATAAACTTTACAGAGCCGGAAATCGAACTGGTTAAAGTTACAGATATAAATTCCCTCTAGAGTTTACAGTTACTTCACAGCGATATAAATGTGGAAAAGCGCAGGCAAATTAGAAAAAAATCAAATGATATTACGTTGCTTCTTCCAGTTGTGTTTTGATCCTGTTATAAATATTTATCATTGAATATATAATAATAATAAAATATGACCTGGGATTTATTCAAACTCATACTTCACGGTGGTGCCATTTACACAAGGATAAGCCTCTACAACCGATGCTCTTTTAAAACTAGAGACAGAAAAGCTACGAAAAAGCGCTTATGTCTTCATTAAGTTCTACTTTTACGTTCGTTCGTTCGTTGTTTCGATTTGGTGCTTACGTAAGACGGGAACAAAATCCATAAAACTTTCACATTTGCACATGATTTAAGCAATCGCGACCGAACTCTTTTGCATTTCAAAACGATTGTTTTCTAATTCATATTTCGTCGTCAAAACCACCAAACCCCACAATCAAACATGACCCACCATGACCTACGGTGAGTCTTCAAGCACAGCCCTCGTGATCATGTTAAGGACACACCTAACAACACAACAAAAACTAATCGGTCAAGTTCAAAGCTTGCATGTTTGATCACAACATTTATTTTCTTAACGAATCATGCTTCAACTTGAAAAAAAAAAATCATAATGGAGCAACTGTATAATGATGAATGTGTGAGTACTGACCACGTTTTGCGTCCATTGCTGCAATGGAAGCGCTCTGACCCCCGTTGGCAAATCTGGCATACAATGAAACCACTGGAAGCGGCTCCAGTACTAATGGAGGAGGCTTTTTGGATAACGGAAGATAAACTGTTTATTGTGTTGTACCTTTTGACTATAGTTTTAAGATGTATTGTATAGTAAACAAGAATCCTCGGCCCTGTAAAGTGAATTCGGTTGAGCCTTATCAAATAAATTAATAAACAACAATATTCGTAGACACCTAACCGTAAAAAACTCAAGGAACATGCTTCATGCGATCGAGGTCATCCCTCTGACAAATGGGCACGATGAAAATAAATCTCAAATGTTCCCCCGAAGGGACGCATCCGCTCCCGCAAACAATGCATCCGCTCTCCAATCCGGCGCAACTGGCATCCCGCCCACACATGCCAACACCACCATCAGTGGCGCAGCACGCGCGGGCGAGCCACCAGCCACACCAAACCGACCATCAAACGCACTGCCCACAAAAGCAGACACGTCCCCTCGAAAATGCAATCGAGAAATGTATAAGAACAATCTTCAACTGGAACGTACTCACCAAATTAATACATCCGGGAGCGCATTCTTTTTTTTTTTTTTATTAATTACTTTATTTGTACAGGCTCAATCGAATAAACTTTACAGAGCCGAGTTATCATTTTTGTTATACATTATTGATTTCTTATATTTAAAGTTAAAGGAGCTGGACCGGATACTCGCGGTTGTCTCGAGGTTAGTGGGGGGGATTCACAATTTTTTTTGGATGGGAAAA